CTTTGCTACATAACATCGTCATGCCTCTTCACTGTCAACTTTCAAATACCTCCTTTTCCAATATCTCCTTACATCCCAAACAGAAGATTTACCACCATAAATTTCATTTTATGAACTGAATTTGCGTGAAGTAAATAGTGGTGCCTACTGTTTAAGTTTTAACATTTTTTTTTTTTTTTATTTGGGTTTTGCACAACTCAAGGAGTCATATCCCCAACACCCAAAAGCCACTGCTCCCTGTCCATCCAATCTCCCTCACGAAGCCCTCTGGCTGCCATGCTTTCCTCCACGTCCTCTGTCCATTTCTTCTTTGGCCTTCCACGCTTCCTTCTTTCAGGTGGCATATAGTTATAGATTTTCTTTGGCCAGCGGTTCTCATCCATCCGCATTAAGTGGCCATACCACTTTAACCGTTTGGTCCCGATCAGGTGAAGGATGTTCTTTTGACATCCGACCTTGTCTCTAATAGCTGCGTTTGGGATCCGCTCGATTCTGGATATGCCACAGCTTCTTCTCCAGAAATTCATTTCCATGGAAAGCAGCTTATTTTCCATCTTTTTTGTCAGTGTCCAGACTTCTGATCCGTAAGTTTAGGTTAAGTTTTAACATAAAACAGCAATGATCTTTGTCACCTAGTTTGACTATTATTTTTAATATTTATTTATTTTTCTCTTCTCCTCAGGTTGTGCTTTTTTTCGTGTATATTTGTTCATATTTTATATCTTTGTCTTTATGTGTGACAATATGAGAATGTACGTATAAATAGTTCCTTTTAGTTATTTTTTTTTTCCGTCACGCCACAAGTATCGTAAGACTTTATTTTATCTTAGTGTCTGCATATTATTATATAAACCATTGTAGATATTATTTCATTTTGTATTAAGTTAGTTTTCTATTAGATAGCCTATTGTTTATAAATTGTGTAGTTATGTGTATATAAATATGTAATTTCTCTTTTTTTTTTTTTTCATCACAATTAAGTAATTTTGAGACGATTTTATGTTCATTTGTATATATATTTTATTTTTTATGTTTTACTGGTTAAATACTTTTAAAATAATATATATGATATTCATTATTTTTAGTTATATATATATTATTTTTAGTTATAACAGTTCGCTTCCTGTTGGGTTTAGTAAAAAAATGTTAGATAATTTTAAGCTGTTTAAGATTGAATATAACCAATTTTATTTATGTCACTTTAAAAAGAAGATATTTAGTGTAAACAAAAAAAAATCGAAATTTCAATGGTTTTTGAATCACTGTAGTGAACCCAAAATGCTTTCAAGGGCAGAAATTTAGATTTTTTATAACCTCTGCATACCTAATAACATAAAAAGAAATTTGAATAACCCCATCTTTAGCAAGGTAGACCTCTTTTTTGTGCTGATTTTACTAGGCTAACTAAATATATCCAGCTATGCCATAAACAAAGATCTTTTCAACTACCTATAATTAATTACTAAAAATCATAAGTCTAAATGGGATAAATATGTATGTGCTAATAACGCGGATGAGGAGCCACAGGTTTTTTTTTTTTTTTTTGGTTTATTATTTTTAATAATCAACCATTGTGATCGACGAAAAAATTCTAAAACTTAACCCCCTCTCAAAAGTTGAGGTTTCATGTTTCAGGATGCATAGAATTCGAAAAACGAATAAAACTTTTTTTGTCCGTCCGCCGTCCGCCCATTTTCTCCAAACTACTGGACCGATTTTTTTCTAATTTTGATATAAAATCAGAGGTCACCCGAGGATGATCCTCCTTCATTACTATCCGCCTATTACTTTCGAAATGGCGGCCGAAAAACTTGCGTTGTTATAGACTGTAGCTCCTAAAAGATTGTACCGATTTCAATGAAACTTCACTAAAGTCATTTTCTCGACGCCCATTAAATTTGTCTATACAACATACTTCAACGAAAAGAAGCTGGAAAAAAAGTTACGAGGGATGGTAAAATTAAATTCCGAATTATTACTTAAAAAGTTTACACTTTTTTGTTGATATTGTAAAAAGAAGTTTCAAATATATTTAAATTTCCTATGCAATTAAAGAAGTTTAATCGAAATCAAAGCACAATTGAAGAAAAATCGCGATTTTAAAATATTTTTGGTTTATTATTTTCAATGAACCATTGTGATCGACCAAAATATTCAAAAACTTAATCCCCTCTCAAAAGTTGAGGTTTCACGTTCCAGGATGCGTAGGATTCGAAAAACGAATAAAAATTTATTTGTTCGTCCGCCGTCCGCGCATTTTCTCCGAAACTACTCAACCATATTGTTTTTTTTTTTTGTTTTTTTTATTGATATTTACAATTGTATTATAAAAAAAAAATACAACTAGTAAATGTGTACACAGTAATAATAAAATAACATAAAAACGCTTGTTGAGAAACTACCCATTCGTAGCACTCTAATAATATATTTACATAAGTGGATCACGAGGCCATCTTCTTTTCAGACGCCTCGGAGGGTTATCAGGGACCAAGGAGGAAGCAAGGTTTGAAACGAGAGGGTTCGGGTGGTTCTGGAGTTTGTTATGGAAGGATTGGTATCTGGATTGGGTCAGATCAGAAACATTAAGGTCATTATGAATGGTTTTATTTGTAACAAAGAAGGGAGCATCAAGGATTTTATGAAGGATATTGGATTGTAAGGATTGGATACGAGAGGAATTCGATGGTTTATTTATTTTTTAGTATAGCCAACACATATAGTTAAATGTCGAAATTCTTGCCAAGAACAAAAGGTTCATAACCAACTGAGAGGGTTTGATACAGAGCTATAATGAAACAAAATGCCTTCAGACATTTCCTATCAACTATCTAAGGATATCTTTAGGCTAACCAAGAAGAAGTAGAGGAACGGTTTGGAGGATCCTGGCAGCTCAGACCGAGGTCCAGGATAACAAATACAGTCTTCAATAGAGACTAATGTCCCGAGAAGCAGAACCCGATGGAGATTTATTTAGTCGGAATGATTTTTAATCAGCGAGAGTGTTCCTCGCCAGCGGGAGGGTAGTCAGTTCTCGAGGGATTTGGCTAAAGCTCACCTCTCGGGCTAACTCATGCCCTTACAGTGCTAGCCTTATTTAATCACTGCGGTCGTTTATAACCACCGGCGATAAGCTATGGGTTAAGTGATCGAAATCCAGGGGACGATTAATTATTAGGAAGCTATTCCATTCCAGAACGGATTACACCCTTCTTTCGCCTTAAACCCAAATATTTCAAACAATAAATAACATATGTTGCTAATTACTTTCAGGATATTAAAAAAATCATTATGTAAATAGGAAAAGACAAAACAGTTCAGTCCGTTCTTCTCCTCTGTTTCTCAAACGATTTTCTTTTTTTTTTTTTTTTCTTTAGCAGCAATTGATGAGTTTTAGTGTTATCATATAAAAAAACTGAGGTGCGTGCTTTAGACTACACGATAGACGTGAAAACACCAACAAGGCGATATTAATAGTATGAAATCATTCAAATCCTCTTGCACAATCCATTACTTGCTCCACCTATCCAATAGAACCCTCCTCGAAGGCTGAAGCGGCAGTGGCCCAGAGACCTTTTGTGAAGAAACATATATTAGAGTCTGAGCAATGGCCAAATTTTATGTGTCTCTGCTCAGCCTCTACTGGACCTTAATATCAGTAATGCTACTGAGTAAGATGCGCTGGGATTTCTCAGAGTCCTGCCTTTCTTTCCACGAGTGGGGAGAAAGGCTTGGCTCCGAGTTCTCCTGAGGGAATGGATTTTTTAAATATTGTATAAAAGTATGCTCGTGTTCTAGTTGTTATTTTGTTTATATAGATTTATTTTTAGTATTATTGAATATTTAATAGCTGGCCGTTGCATTATATAGGAAGGAAATGGTCCGGGGTGGTGGTCATAAATAGGCTAAATAGTGGCCAAACTATTTTATTAAAAGCCCACTTTTCTTTTTCTTTTCCTATATGTCTATTATTTCATATTATATCCTTTTTCCTTCTTCTTCAATCTCTCCAGTAGATCCGTAGAAGTATATTCACATTTGCATATATTATATATTACACTATAACAATTGTTACCATCTATTTACATCATTTTAGGATCTTGTTGCTTAGCTTACTCAGTTTATATTTTAATGTACTTACTGTTTATAATTTTAATAAGCTTATTCACATTGTTTATATATATTTTTTTCTAAACAGTACCTATTATATATTTTTCCACAATTCTCTATAATTTTTTTTTGTATTTTGTCCGTTCTAGCTCTGAAGAAGACCTGCAAAGTTGGGTCGAAACGTTGGCTTTTAATAAAATAGTTTTCCTACTAAAAAAAAAAGGTTTTAATAAAATAGTTTTGCTATTATTTAGCCACCCCGGTATCTCCTTCCTTTTAAGTGTTATTATTTGTTTGTATTATTTATTGTAAATAGAGTGTGAATGTGCTTTCTGAACACTATTATCAATGTCCTTAATTGTAACAGATTGTAATAATTCTAAATAAATAAGTACAAAAAAAAAATATGAAATATAAATTATAAATAATAGTTCATTATGAAGAGGATGAAATGCAGAACATTTCCCTTGCTTACATTATGCAGGTCCAATTTTGAGTTTCTGAGATATTTTAATCCACATCTTCTATGAAACTCCTAATTATTCGGTTTTCGACACCATTTTTTCTCTTTTCGTCTCTCTCTAACATGGCTCCGCTTTAAGATAAAATTTTTAATAATCAAAATATAAATCTGTGTCCCAGAGGTTAAGGACACTATGCCTATTTTTTAATTAAGTAATTTAGTAAATAAAAATGCCGTAGTCCAGTTAAGCCGACAAGAAATTATCCTATTATCATGTTATTTTAAACAAGTTCACAGCTCAAGAGCGCTGAAGAAAATTATAACCTTAAACTGAAACTTATTTATAAATCACTTTTTGCAAATTATATACTGTCAGTTGTAAGTTATCTATTATTAACAGTATCAAGTTTGAGACGCAGTGTCTTCACGCATGGACTCGTACAAAGCTGAACCAATTGGCTTGTTAAACAAGGCAGATGTAATTTTCAACAGGTAGGGCTACCCTGTAATTATAGAGATTCAATTTACAACCACAAATTATATTACCTTCTCAATACTGAAACCCCTTCATAGGAAATGTATGAGGAAATGTTAGAGGTTCCCTATAATTGCTTCGATCAATAAAACCACAAGTGTAATAAATATTGTAAACTGACTATAAATACAACAAAATAAATTGCTGCAGTCTCGTACTGTAATTATAGTAGTAAAATGACATATAAATGATTGAAGGCGATAAATATTTATTACACTAACTTTAATAGCATTTTGCGTCTATCAATTAACGATAGGTGGTAATAAACATCCTTGCAAAAAACGATATGAGAGATTCGTGCAATGTTATTAGTTAATGATATTAATATTAATACAACGTTTCTTAAACTTACAGAGGCCTGATACCGATTTTTTTAATATTATACGACCGAACAACACATTTTCAACAATTTTGACACTCGTATAAAAATAAAGTTTTTCTATATACGTCTACTTTTGGCATCCATTAGAAAAAATGATAATATATTAAAATTGGTTCATTACTAAAATGGAAGTGAGAAAGATTTTTAGATTAGGACAAAAATTTTTATATTAAATTGTATTTAATTCTTGATGTATATGCACTTTTGTTATTGTTATTATTTCTGTTGACTAATTTCAAACATTTTAATATTTCATATAAGATAAAAGCATAAAGAGAGAGATGGGAGAGAAAGGGAAACTAAATGTAAAAAAAAACATGAACAAATGAAATATATATATATATATTATACTCATACCAACCATTCGTTTTCTAAAAGCATTTCCAAGTCAATTTCAACCTTTTCCACTTCAAATCCAACCTTTTTCAAGTCAAATTAAATTTTTTCCACTTCAAATTCAACCTTTTCCAAGTCAAATTCAACCTTTTCTATTTCAAATTCAACTTTCGAATTTTTCTATATTTTCAATTTTTTTTCGAAACAAAGGCCACTTGATATACTATTGAAGGCTTAGCTTTTGAAAAATACAAAAAATGTGATAACGTGGTTGCATATCCATTTATTTTTACTTTTTAGATTTTTTCGGTAAAATGTTTCCATGTCATATTGATTTTTTTTCAAATCAAGTCAAATTCAATCTTTTCCAAATTAAATTAAATTTTTTCCTAGTCAAATTCAACCTTTTCAATTTTGAGGTTAAAGTTTCGAATTTTTGTAAATTGTTTATTTTATTTTTTTCAAAATAAAGGCCATTTTCCAATATGAGGGTCTATTATTATGCTCCCCTATGTAGAGTTTTTTATAATACGATATAAGTGTCTAGTATTATTTTAACTATATTTGTGCTAATTTTACTGAGCTATATCACATATGGTGTAAATAATTTTATTTAAAACCAGTCTACATAATAAAAAATTAATACATTTTAAATGTTATACTATGAGTGAATAACTTATTATGAAGTTTAAATATTCCTAGGCCTGCTACAAGGTAACTGTAGGATATAGAGGAACCTTAAGAACAGAAGGGAGATAAAGATTGACATATCGACTTGAAGAACAAGAGGACGCAAACTGCCTTATCAGGACAAGAGGGTGGTACCCCGAGGATTAGCTAGAGAGGAGGAGCCTGAGAAATGGCTGCCGAGATGGGACATGATGAAGATGCATGTATTGCATTTGTTATGCACTCATCCTTTAAAAGCATATTTATCCGGCCCTTGTCTTGCACATACATCACCTAGAGCGGCCCTCTGTCTTTTCCGTCTCCTCCTCTTCCTCCTCTATAGCTATCCTTGTAATGATCCGGAGAGCACTTCTTCATCGAGGGGAAGTCACTTAGGGAGCGGTTAGGGGAACAATGGTGTGATCTCGCAACCAATTTTATTGATATAAATCGAGGGTCTAGTTACAATTGAAAAATGTGAGAAGAGAGAAATGAAGGAGAAACATATGATTCGCATATCAGAAAACCATCACTTACTACTTATTTTCAGTTAGTGTTGCCCAAATTCGAGACAAAGACGAGTCTTGGTCTTAGCATAGTCTAGGTCTTGGTCTTGAGCAAGAGTCTTGCGAAAGTCTTCCGGTTACTTATTAGCTTATTACTATAGATATATTCGTCTCTATATATCATATATTCATCCAGAGATACACTGCATTTTAAATCTTATAAAAATGCTTCATGGAATTGGAACAACGGCTCATTTTATCTAGTCGCCTGGCCATATAGGTATTAAAGGAAATGAAATGGCTGATAGAGCAGCAAAAGAAGCTCTGCTCTTCCAGGCCGCGGTAAAGCTTTTTTGACCCCATCTAAACTTGAACGACCTCTAAGAGAAACCATATCCCAAGAATGGCAAAGACGGTGGGACAACAGAGCACCTAGCAAATTAAAGACAATAAAGAAAGAGGTGCAACTGTGGACCAGCTCCAGACGCAGCAGTCGTAGAAGAGGTCGCCCTCACGCGGCTGAGGATCGGACATACTAGACTGACACACCTCCACCTCATAACAAAAGATCTTATCCCCAGATTGCAAAAGTGTGAATAGTCACTAACTATAAAACATGTTTTGGAAGAGTGTCCTTTTTATACCGCTAAAAAGATCTTAAGGTTAAAAGATCTCGGAATACACCAGAATATATCAACATTCCTGAGAAATCAAGAAGAAACCCTAACAAAAATTATGAACCTCCAAGACAATGAAAAAATTAAAAAACATATATGACAAGTTTATCACTAATGATACTTTTGCAGATTTATTTATTTATTTTTTTTAATTCTAAAAGTTCATTTATTTATTAATTTCAATTCATTTATTTATTTTATTAAGTCTATTATTATCACTATTTATTTCTTTTATTCTATTAACTTTTTAGTTTATTTTTTATTTTTAACTTTTTTTTATTTTTATTTTTAACTTTTTATTTTTATTTTTTATACACCACCTGAAAAGTATACAAGTTGATCAGGCGTAAAAGTTATTCAGGCTCTGATGACCTGGATGTTTTACGCCTAGACATCCAAACAAACAAATTATAGAGATATTATTGTAATTTTAGAGATAGGAGAAACCTAACTAAGCCTGAATAAAAAATTAGAAGAGTTAAATGCAAAAGTATATTGGTTATACCGATTCTTTAAATATAGTATCTAAAATTGTCAATTAATAGTAACTAGTTTGTCTTAATTTTTATTCAAGAAATCGATTTTTTTTACCAGTCTTTCAAAGTGAAATACCAAGGCCGATTAAGAGCACCACAACTTTAAGTAAAACTGCTAAAGTAGGCTAGTTAGTGTTTAATTATTTAAATCTAATTTAGGAACTACAGATATTAAACAAAAGAAAGGTTTTTATCGTATGTTTTCTCACAGTATACTTCTTCAAGATTACTTTTTTTTTTAAGTGAAAACATTTTTAGGCGAGTTGTCCAACTAGAAAATCGCCCTAATAAAAATAGAGATTAGGCGATAATATAGTTTTGCTCCCCCTCCTCCTTCGGTATTTTGAAGAAAAACAATTAAGATAAGATCAAGTTATTAACAATTAATCCACATGAATGAATAAAACACGTAACGTAAAATCAATTAAGAAACTAGGAAAGTAGATAAGATGAGTAAGCTTGGAGCTAGAAATAGACTTATAAATATTTTACTACAGCCTGTTTTCCTATTATTGAAAATTTTAGTTTACATTCAAATATAATTATATGTAGCAACATATCCTAGGATTTTATTATTCATTCGTGTCCACCCTTCTATTTTTAAGTTAATATTTTATCCCATTTCTCGAGGCAAATTTGAGCTTCGGAGAATCGAGAGTTCATTTCATTGCTTCAATCCTTCAAATAAAAATAGAAAACATGTAATATATACAGGAGGTCATCGCCCCCTCCCTAGAATGCAACGGCTGCGTATACGTTTACGGACGACGATGCCTGAGCCTCAATTGATATAATGTTTATATATATATATATATATATATATATATATATATATATATATATATATATATATATATATATTTAATGAGTTCCTAGATACAACAATTCCTAATCTAACGTGGCCGGTCTTGGTGTCTCCCTATCCAAGGAGGTACCTATTAATAAAACAAAGAGGAGCAGACAGACGCTTCCTACGGAGGAAGTGGCAAGGAGGATGCACGACTGCCAATTGGGATTTGTTAATGGCTGGCTCATATCCAACGCCTTCCGGTCAGTCTATGTCCGCCCATCATTAATGAAATGCTCGTTTACGCCATTAGAATAAAGATATATTAGCATATGCTATAATTTATATTGTTATAATAGTTTTTGGTCAATCACGTAAAAACTTGTGTATTCGAGAACTCACGCATAAAAATATATATTTTCTAAGGCCACTCACTAGAGGTAATAATTTAGTGCTTCAAATAGCGCACAACAATAGCGCCATCTATTGGTCATCGGAGTCTGAGAGTCTACAAAATGGTATCCATGTGCATGCATGCTCAAATAATGTCCAACACAAAGAAGAGGCCAGAAGAGGCAGCACGGATGCCAGCACATAGCACAACATTAAGAGAAGTCAGCAGTTCAGACCACAATACTCAGATGTATTCTCAGAACTCAGACTCTCAATGGAGAATTCGATAGCATCGTTCACGAACCAGAATCTTCATTTACTCGATCAGCTCATTAATTATCAATATTTTACCAACACAATAATCCGAATGTACACTTTTGGTATTCCTCCCCTCCCCCCCGTCAAATCTGTTTTATTCATCAATATATTTTTTATGTTAACCTTATTTTTCTCATTTTACTTCCCACAAGGACACACCCTTGCTGTGAAAGCTGGGATCGCTGAGAGTCTCGCGTTGTCCTTCACACGTGGGGAGAAAGGGCTGTAATCGGTGCCCCTCGGCTGATTTTAAATATTCTAATTAAGTATAAATGTTTTTATTTTTAATCTATTTTTTGTATATATCTATTTATTTCTATTACTTATATTTTATTTAGTTTTGCTTCGAAATTCTGTATTTTATTTTATTTTATCTTCAAGTTACATTTTCTTGGTTTATTATAGTTTTTGCCTAGTTATATAAATATATATTTTGGTATAAAAGAGCCTCACTCAGCTATAGTACTCAGTACCCTTAAGTGTGGAAAAATATATTATTTACTAATAAAATATCTTTAGAAATAAATAAATAAATTTTCTTAATTGATTTTAATAGTTTTTTTATAGTTCATTTATGTATATTAATTGCTATTGACTTTGATTTTATTTTTTCCTTATAAATATTGGGAGGGGTAAAACGATGTTCTCGATATTTTATTGGGAGGCAATCGCCCCCATCGACCCTCCCTCGAAGTCTGCGCTTAGGCCAATCAGATTTTATATAATACTACTTAATTATTTCGGACTTAGCGGCATTGATTAGAGTAGATTTATGTTTTTTAGGTAAAATAAATAGAGAACAAAATATTTATTTATTGATTTTATGAAAGGAGGCGAAATAATCAAGAAAAAATTTCCGAACATCAAAGTAAATTACAAATCCTTATTTTTGTTTTTGTAACTAAAAATAAACAAATTTCATTTTGAAAACAGCCATTAGCATAAGAATGGAAAAAAATTAAATTCAGAACTAGTTGCAGCGGAAATTAAATCCAGTCACGCTCGTCCTCTTATTCAACAGCGAGGGCGTTTCAACGTCTAATTATAAATTCATAATGTTACGTAATCTTTTCCCTCATCGATTCGGATGATCTCATATCGATTAATGATCGAGGACTTCATTGAGGACGAACGAGAATTGTTTTCTAATGACGTAATGTTTCAGGTTGATGCTCTTTCAATTCATACTATTTACAATGAATGGTATTTTGAATTTCAGGTTTGTCTATTATTCTTACATATTATAACTCTAACCGCTATATGAAAAAATGTATTATTTGTTTTACTTATTAAAATTTCCATTATTAAAAAAAAGTTATTACTAAATAAAAATATAAAAAATCAAACAATATTTCTCAGATATTGTGTTCACAAATAATCTCATTCTTATCTGCTTAATTTTAATTTTTTGGAATAAAAAAAGGTTTTAGATAATCGAAATTTGATATCGATATTTCAATGAATCAATATTTGAAATATAGAAATTTAAAACATTTTAGAAAATAAAAATATAATAATAATTTTATATTGTATTCGCAAAGTATGGAAAACTCCAGAGCCTGGAGCTAGAGGACGCCCTGCAGTGGCGGAAGTAGGAACTTGTGTCGCTACCTATATAAATCTCCCCGCTTTTGAATTACTACAACATAAATACCAGATCCATTAAGAAGGAATAAATAGTATTTTTGAAGAGAATAAAGAATAAAGAAAATTTAAAAAATAAATAAATTTCATAAAATTAATCATCGAAATGTATAACTGTGAATGAAACATTAAAGTAAACATTTGAGAAATCACTAATAATAAAAAAAAATGATATTTTTCAGGATTTTGTTTTATATATATATATATATATATATATATATATATATATATATATATATATATAAAATATGTAAGGCAAAGTATTGCGATCATAAAAAAAAAAAAATGTTAAAAGTTAAAACTCGTTTTAAAGTGTGTTAATTCCAAATTTACAATTATCTGCTGTTTATGCAATATTTTACTTTAAAACACGCTATCGGAAGTGCCACATAATATTTTGTTATCTATCTATCTATCTATCCATGTATCTATTTATTTATTGAGTATTACAACTATCTGTCACTTGGAAATAAGTTACAGCGAGGTAGGATAACATTCACACTATATGTAAAAATAAATAAATAAATAGAAGCAAAATGACAATAAATACTAATCAAAAAGTATATACAATAAATAAAATAAAATAACTTAAAACAAATCAAAATACACTTAGATACCTATAAACAAGTACTTAATACGGTGGGACAGGATGTAGTAGGTTTACAGCGAAGGGTAAAAGTAATTTTTTGGGATTTGTTTGGATTAATTTTAATTCTCCAATTAGCACACCATTCTTCAATGGCTGAAATGTGTGACTGCAGGGTTTGTGATGCAATAGTTGGTCCATTATTGACAGACAACACCCACGTGTCATCAGCATAGCTAGTGAGGACGGTTGAACAATAAAATTAAAATATTTTTTTTTTTAACAAGACGTTCTTAGCAGTAATACTAAAGGAGAATTGAGAACGATTCTGGAAAATCGTAGGACTTTTAGCGAAGGGAAGGCAAAGGACCAAGGAGAAAAGCGTCAATAAGTGAAAGTGCAATTTATTAAATAATCGATAGTGCCCTGGAAGGATCCCAAAGGGTCCAGTTCGCCGTGGCGTCCTGCCAGCGCTCGCACCAAGCCACTGCCTCAGTATCTAGGCTTTCATCTCTGAGGGCGGTATCATTATCTAATATCTATTCGAGGGTACTGCTTAAAGCGATTATCTCGGAGTCTGGATATTTTTGAGGTTAAGTGCTAAAACAACCACTACAAAGTTTTGGAAAAATATGGAAAAAATTATAATCTTTCAGTGAGCCTCCTTTTTCTGGATTACGAAAAATCATTTGTCCCTCTAAAAACCGATTGTATTATAAATATATTGAAAACGAGGAAAATAAGTTCAAGAATATAAAAGATACTGGAAGTTGCTTATTCGAGATTCAATTCAGAATATAAATCAGGATGAACAACAGTAAAAATAAAAATTTGTAAAGATGTACGACAAGGTGTTACCCTTTCTCCTAAAATATTTATATCAGTTCTCCATGATTTTATGCAAACTATGAATTGGCAGAACAAAGGAATGGCAATTTTCGGAGAATGGCTGAACCATTTAGAGTTTGTGGATAATGAAGTCCTAATAGGTAAACATAAAGAAGAAATCCTAACAAATCAATTAATGAAGGCTGAAGTAAACATAGGGCTCTAAATAAATTATAAAAAAATCATGTATATATCAGTGAATGTTGAAGAAGATATATTATCTCAATTAAAGGACAAACTGAAGAAATAATCAGGCGATGTACCCAGGGATGGCGCACACTCTTCAAATTTAAGGATCATACATAAATCCTCAGTGAGCTTAGATGTCAAGAAAAACTTTGCATGAGCACAGTACTTCCTGCCATGATATATGACTGTGAAACATCGGTAATGGACAAGAAGACTTGTCACAAATTTAGGATAACCGTCAGAGTAATGAAGAAATATCTTCTCGGAATAACGCGAAGGGATAGAAAAGCAAATAAATGGATCAGAGCTAAGACTGACCTAGATATTGTAGAAAAAGTGCACATGAGAAAGTGGACCTGGACTGGACATGTAATAAGGAGGAATGAATTAACATAGACCAGGCAGTTTATGGATTGGTATCCAAGAGAACACGTGAGGAAGAGAGGACGCCCGCCGACAGACTGGGACAAGGAGATGAAGAAGACCTGCGGGGGAGCAGCCTGGAAGAGAGTAGCATTAGAGAGGAAAGAGTGGAAGCGGATGGGACAGGTTCATTACCTAGTGTGGTTGCAAGAGTGCCAGGAAAAAAAGAAGAAAGAAATTTAACTCAAAACCTCAACTAAAATGTTGATTTTGTACATATCTATTTTTTATTCATTGTTGTATCCATTATTATTTACAAATAAAAATTATTATTATTATTATGGAAACAATGAGGTTGCAAAAGTCGTTTTAAAGTTTTAAAATGTACCGCGTAAAATTGTGAAAAAAGAATGTGATGACCTGAAAAGACTTGTTGAGAAATTTCCCGCTGGTAGCACTCTAATAATATATTTACATTAGAAGATCACAAATCTATTTTAAAGTCTCGGAGGGTTATCATGAATCGAAGAGGAAGCAACGAGTTAGAAACGAGTGGATTCGAACCGAAAACACAAGGAACATTAAGGTCATTATGGATTTTGTTAGTGAAAAAGTAAGGAGCGTTAAATATATTAGGAATGGTTTTTTGGATTGCAAGAATTAGATAGAGAAGAATTAGATGGTTTAGTAGAAGCTCAACTCCATAGGTTTTATTAGATGAGAACACGACACACCCTGCAGGCTTTTTTTTGTATCATAATCTGTTTACTTTCATACTAAATTCAGGTTTTTTTGGTTGTTTTTTTTTTTGTATCTGCTATATAGGTAATACTTAATATTGTAACTATACTATTACTCATTACATCACTGATGTCATCCTATTAGTTCACTTAATTCTTGGTCAGACAGCTGTTACTTATTTAATATCTACTGATAATTCATTTATTTAACATTTACTTTTTTCCCCACCCCACCTCGCTTTTTAGGCTACACGGGGCTTTGCCAGGGCCAGTGGTAAGGGCGGAGGATTAATCCCAGAGTTAAAAAACCCCCAGGACATCGGGAAGCGAACTCATATTTATTTTATTATCTTCAACTTCGGTTATCAGGTTGCCGGACAACTCGTGGTGCTGTGATCGGTCACCTTTTTTTTTTTTTTTTTTTTTTTTTTTTTTTTTTTTTTTTTTTTTTTTTTTTTTTTTTTTTTTTTTTTTTTTATTGAATAATAATACAATCAGCCACTGTTGGAGGGCTATAAGTATTAAGGCTAAAAGTTCTCATTCATACAGTATATACAAGTAATACAGAAGTAACTATAAATATAAATAGTAAATAAATAATACTTATAAAAAAATGTAAATCAATAGAAAAAAATAAAATAAAATAAAAAAATAAATAAACAAAATAAAATAAAAACTTCTAAACACATTCATACCTATATACAATATATACATTCGCCCAGGAATCTCCGAGCCAGGCTTTTCTCCCCACATGTGGAAAGCAAAGCAGGACTCCAGAGATCCCAGTGCCATTTTTCCAGCCGCATCACTAGTATTAAAAGCCAGTGGAGGCTGAAGGAGGGCACTAGAGCCACAGATGCTCAGGACTTGAGTGGAGAAGCTGGCCATTGCCAGGACTCCAGAAGCGTATTTACAATAGATCTCGCGGCCACTGCCGTTTTAACCTTCGAGGGGGATTGTAGGGATGGTGGGAGCTGGATAGGGATTGAGCTAGAGGATTTGGATGATGGATAAGGTTCTGGTGAAAGTTTGAGAATCTGGATGGGATGATGTCGAGGACAAAAGGGATGTTAAGGTCATGGTGTAGGGTCTTATTTGTGACATAATATGGGGCATTGGCTATTGTTCTAAGTACTTTGGACTGGAAGGATTGGATGCGTTTGATATTCGAATGTTTAGCAGTTCCCCACAGTTCAAGTCCGTAGGTCCAGATAGGTTTCAGTATTGTCTTGTAGATTAAAAGTTTATTTTCAATCGAAAGATGAAATGTCCTGCTTAGTAGTCTATATAGCTGGCCATATCGTTGGTTAAGTTCTTGTCTTTTAAGTCTCGTATGTGGGTTCCAAGTTAGTCTTTTGTCTAGAAGGAAGCCAAGGTAACGGACTGTATCTGAGTAGGGAAGTGGTATTGAATTGAAAAGGATTGTGGGACAGGATCTGCGTCGCAGAGTGAAAGTAATATGTTTACATTTTGCTTCATTGATTTTAATGCGCCAGTCGTTGCACCACTGCTCAATCAAGGAGAGGTGAGATTGTAGGTTTTGAGATGCTATTTGAGGATCTGAGTGGGAGGATAGAATGGCAGTATCATCGGCAAATGTAGCTAGGAAGGTATCGAGATTTGGAGGGATATCGGCAGTGAAAAGGATGTAAATCGGTCACCCTGTCGCTATGTTTTGCAACCCTGACGGAGGCCTGCAAAATGGATCGAAACGTCGGCGTAAATAATAAAACATTATTGCAGTATATAGTATTTTATTTGACAGCAGCCCCGACCAACTCCTTCTCATATTATAATCACAGTTAATCACCTCCACCTCATTAGATCTTATCATAGTCATCTAAATGAGTCTTTTCTTGGTCAGTTGGAACGTTTGTCCAGTAAGTGTTGGAGTAGTTGGAAACGACGAGTGGTTTCTTGTCGTTTCAATATGGTATGAGGATTTCAAGTTAGATGTTTGTCTAGGTGGAGTATTAAGTATCGGATTTGTTCAACAGAAATGAATGGGATATTATTAAAAAGATACTGTAGGACAGGATGTCACAGATTTACGACGAAGGATAAAAAAGGTAATTAGATTATGTTTATTTCACACAAAATTAAAATACTAACTACACATTATTTTTAATTTTTTTTTCTTAATGATTAACAAATCTAATGATTAAGTCATCATTTTGAAAATTCTCTTCTCCTCCAGCTTAGAAAAATGGTCATATCTTCTCAAACTTTCAGGCGAAGTAATTAATAAGTAAAAGAAATTTTATTTGCGTATAACTCAAAAATTATGCAATTTGTGGAGCATGATAACCATGATTATTTAAAAGGTTATTAAATTCCTTTGTTCACTGATCTTTATACCAAGCGAATTATTCACATGTGCCAACTTGTACCAATTAAAAACAAGCATTGTCTGCGCAGAATGTGCTTCAAAGAAAACTTAAATTTACTAAAGTAAACTAAACAAAGGGGCCCTACAACTAGTAGAGTTGTGTGTCAATTAATTAACAGCCCAAGGGCATTTCCTCCAATTACAGAACAGCTTCTCCTTCAATTAACAGTCTGTTTGTGCACACGTCATTTCGTATTTGCTACATTGTTCCCTGTTATAGAAGCATCTGAAATATTCTACGAGAAGGTTAAAATTTTGAGAGATGGGAGAGATTTCAAGACAGAAAAGAAATAAAATGTATTTAGTATAACTCAATGAGAACTCACACTTAAGATATGTGTCCTTATTCCTAATATATTCGACGTATGGTAGCATCAGCCAAACACATTTATTCGTGTATACAACATAATATTATCAAGATAATCTATTCAATACACACAATCGATGAAGTTTATCGGTCGAATTACAATAGCCATTCATGATAATAAACCAAAACGTAAGTACAAATTACTATTGGATGTATATCTGCTAATAATGGCAAGTTTTTGAGGATATTGTTTTTGGTTTTGTGGGGAATTAACCTAAGTTAAATTACAAGCTTAGATAAAGTCTCTTTTTCTTTTTAAATTTTTCTTCTAAAATTTTGGATGGGTATGACTATTTTTCTCATCTAAAGAAAAAATAAATCTCATGTGTCCAATCACAAGAATTTGTTACCGATTTCAGAAAATATTTTACATCTTTAAATATGTCCTTTAAAAGAAAACAAAAAAATTTAATTAGATTTATTTTCCTTATAATTGATCAAGGAAAATATTTGAGTACAATTTCATTGATAAACTAAACCAATGTAAACTGCCTTGTGGAAGGTCAGTGCGAAAAATTCAATACACTACAATATTGCTAATAAAGAACTTTTTTGTAATAGCTCAACAAAATAACTGTTTATCAGACAATAATTTCTATTTAAAGTAGAGGAAAATGAAACTTTGAATAAATTAATGAAAAATAGTTTTAATCTGGGACTAAAGTCAACCTGGTACAAAACATTGGTCCATTAGTCTGGTTTGACAAAATACAATGAGGTAATTTGAATGTTAATTTCAATTGCTATGGCAACCGTACTTGAAAAAAATAGTAAATAAGGTAACAATATTACATTTCATATGGTTCACATGTATATTAAGAAAAACTAAATGAATAAAATCAAATGGAACTTGTCGATTAATTGTTAGTGAGCAGTTGAAATTACAGAATCCAATAATTATTACATAGGTATGGAAGTTAGAAAATGAATTAGGTGTTGGAACTTGTGTGATGCGGGCACCACACTTTTTTACTTTCACTTACTTTTTATATTTCTCTCTCTTTCACCCCTTTCTGGCTTTGATTTGAACTCGTAATCTTACACACGGAATTAAAATAGCTGTAACTTCTTTAATGGTTGACCGAAATGAACGATTTTTATATACATTTGAAAGTAATTTAATTATATTTCAAACGTTGTTATATAACTTATACTATGGGACATATGTGCTTAGCGAGTCAAGCCAAAACTTTTTCTTTCCTTTATAAAATTTGTCCAAAATTTTCTCAAGAATTTAGTATAAGTTCAAAAATTGAAAGGAAATTTATTAAAAAATTATAGGAAAGTTTCATGAAAATCGTTGAAGGCATTTTTGCGCTACAGTCTATAGAAAAATATATTTTTCATTTATTGAGCAAGGAGCATCCAATTTGTGTAAAAATCCTAAAAAAAAAAAAATAAGCAAAATCTGTCAACTTGTTCCCGAGATAATCTTGGCACAGACAGACCAATGGTTGAAAATGTGTTTTTCGGATTTATGGGGCTCTGAAACGTAAATATCCGTCGAAAATCGCACATCTCAATTTTCACCCGATCGGAATACTTTCCTTATCTAGTTGAAATCAGAAAGTAATAATCTTCAAAATGGTAGATGAATAAATGGATATGACGAACAATTAATGAAGATATTGCGTAGAGATTAAAAATAAAACTTTGAGAAATAATATGTAGAAGATAGGCAACAATAGCATTAAGATTTATTATCGCAAGTGTAAGATTTGACACATGCTTTATCTAAAAAACGCTACATTTTCGAACTTTAAA